CTCTTGTTGCCCAGGATGGAGTGCAATGGAGCAATCTCGGCTCACTGCAACCTCCACCTCACCGGTTCAAGCGATTCTCCTGCCTCAGCCTCCTCAGTAGCTGGGATTATAGGCATGCGCTACCACTCCCGGCTAGTTTTGTATTTTTAGTAGAAATGGGGTTTCTCCATGTTGGTCAGACTGATCTGGAACTCCCCACCTCAGGTGATCCGCCCACCTCAGCCTGCCAAAGTGCTGGGATTACAGGTGTGAGCCACTGCGCCCAGCCAAAGTTTCTTTTTCAAGGCAGCACACTCATAGCAGTCAAGATGAGTTCTGTTTCTTTGTTTCTTAATGTCAGGGGAGGTATTTGTTCACAGAAGAGATTATTTTCTTTTTATATTTTGTCATGGTTTTTTTCTTCCTTTTTTTTTTCTTGGTTCTTTACTTGGAAATTTTGTACTGTTTTAAATAAATGTTTGGGAGTTTTTTCCTTAGCAAAAGAAAAATAAGTGTGTGAGCAGTTGTGCTCTACTGTTCTATACCTGCCTCGGGAATTGACCAGAAAGAGCCCTGGACTCCTGAGTAGCCCAGGTAGGAAGTCAGACTAATTCCGCAGTGCTCAGAAGAGTTCAAATCAAAGAAGCCTACGTGGTAGGTCTGACCCACGCAGGGCCAAGGATTCCTTTTGGAGCAAAATGTTCACCCACTGACAAGGGTCCTGCTTCTACTCCCTGCTCACCCTTCCTTCAGTTGGACCGGCCCCAAACACTGTTCCTTGCTAAATCAAACGAAAAAATGGGTTGACTGCTCCGTTTCGACTGCAGCCAACATGCAGTCAGGTCCTTCTCGCCCCAACAAGACTCCACCAGCCCCTCCATTCCCTTGTTCTTTAGGCAAGTTCGGCCCACTGTGTCCGCAGGAAGGGTTAACAAAGAGGAGACGCTAGGAAAGGCTACCACTAAACATGACCCGGCTGCAGGGCCCGGGAAAGACGGAAAGTAAGGGAGTAGGAGGAGTTAGGGCACAGGCAGATTCTAGGCTGTACACGACTTTGCGCACCCACCGTCCGGCCCGTCCCCAGCCCCGCCTGCCGCCTCCATTCCCCGCCCGTAGGACAGTTTGGCATAGTAGGTTGCTTTTTGTAAAGCAAGGGTTAAATCGTTTTTTCTGGGCTATTTATCCACCTTACCTTCCTTCGCAACCAATAAATCCTCTTACAAACCTGAGGCGGCAAAGTAAAAGGCCAGCGGATGGCATGGCTTGCGGCGGCGGGGAAAGAGTCACTTCCTGGTGCGCAGGACGCCTCTACTCTCGCCGCGCGCGCAGCCAACCCGGGGCAAGCGCCAAGCGCGGCACAGCGCGGGGCTCCTCCCACCGTCAGCTGGGCGGCTGGTCCCGCCACCTCGACTCCTCTCGCGAATCTTCTGCGGAGACCTTCCTCAAAAGTACTCATAGCCCTAAAACCCGCCGTCTTCCTTCTTTCTCCAAGTTCTCCTCTCCTCCCCTCCCCGCGGCCCCGCCCACCACCTGCTCTTTCCTCACGGTCCCATTGGTGGATCTAAATGAGACACAAGAAGAAAGTCACACTACAGTGATAACTGCGTTACCCGTCCCAGGGGTGCTTGCAGTTTAACTCTTCCAACTCAAGGAATAGTTTTCTCATGATAGAATTGCAGAGATCAGATCCATAATGGGTTGAAAGATTGGGAGATGAGAAGCAGGGTGGTTTCCTGAAATGGCATCCTTTGGTAAAAGTCAGACTTATTCTGGGCCATGAGGTTTTTCAGGCATTCATTCTCTATTTTACATTGCATCAGAAAAATATGTTATGGTTTATTCACTGGATCACATTCAAAGCTATTCAATCCTAAACCCTCAGAAATAATTTTTTTCTTCAAACTACAGAACTCAAAAAGAAGCCAGATGTCTCTTTTTGGTTGATTGACTACCTCCTGGACTACATTCAGTAATACCTCTAATTTTTAGAAGTCATTAGCCAGCAACACGAGTAAGAGAACTTGAAGTATACACACATCTGTGCGCCGTAAAATATTGCTGCTTTAATAGAGTAAAATTTACAGCAAAGTGAACTTACAGGGCCGGGCACGGTGGCTCACACTTGTAATCCCAGCACTTTGACAGGCCAAGGCGGGTGGATTACCTGAGGTCAGGAGTTCGAGACCAGCCTGACCAACGTGGTGAAACCCTGTCTCTACTAAAAGTAAAAAAAAATTAGCGGGGCTTGGTGGCACACGCCTGTAATCCCAGCTACTTGGGGGCTGAGGCAGAAGAATCGCTTGAACCTGGGAGGCAGAGGTTGCAGCAGTGAGCTGAGATGGCACTATTGCACTCCAGCCTGGGCAACAAGAGTGAAACACTGTCTCAAAAAAAAAAAAAAAAGTGAACCTACATGTAATGATATTTAATTTTCATGCTTAATTGTGCTGGTTGGGTACAGTGGCTCACACCTGTAATCCCAGCACTTTGGGAGCCTGAGGCAGGCGGATCACAACGTCAGGAGTTCGAGACCAGCCCGGCCAACATGGTGAAACCCCATCTCTACTAAAAATACAAAAATTAGCCGGGCATAGCGGCAGGCGCCTGTAATCCCAGCTATTGGGGAGGCTGAGGCAGGAGAATTGCTTGAACCGGGGAGGCAGAGGTTGCAGTGAACCGAGACCACACCATTGCACTCCAGCCTGGGCGACAGAGCAAGACTCTGTCTCAAAAAAAAAAAAAAAAAAGTAATTGTGCTTAAGTGGAAAGTACTTTGCAGTCAACATTTCATTTATTAATATTTATTGAAAGCATAACATGCCTATTATGTGTAAGGTAATGTGTTAGCCTTACTGAATACAGTAGTAAATTAAACAAGGCTCAGTACTCCAGATAGCAGCAAACATTGAGTCAGCCAGACTAGGGTTCAAAGCCCAGATCTGTCACTTTTCTTTTTTGAGACAGAGTTTTACTCTGTCTGGAGTGGAAAGGCATGATCTCGCCTCACCGCAACTTCTGCCTCCCGAGTTGAAGTGATTCTCCTGTCTCAGCCTTTCATGTAGCTGGGATTACAGCATGTGCCATGACGCCTGGCTAATTTTGTATTTTTAGTAGAGATGGGGTTTATCCATGTTGATCAGGCTGGTCTTGAACTACTGACCTCAGGTGATCCACCCACCTCGGCCTCCCAAAGTGCTGGGCTTATAGGCCTGAGCCACCACACCCAGCAGATCTGCCACTTATAAGCTGTGTCCACTTGAGCAAGTTATTTAATTACTCAGTGCCTCAGTTTCATCATGTGAAGAAAATGTCCACAATAATTGTACCTACCTCTTAGGGTTGTGATGAACATTAAATGAGTTAATATCTGCAAAGTGCTTAGAACACAGTAAGTACACAAAAAAGTTAGCTATTATCATTCAAAATAAGTTTATATACTGTGTGTTCATACATTCTGAAAGAAATCAAAATATTTGGGCCAGGTGCAGTGGCTCACGCCTGTAATTCCAGCACTTTGAGAGGCCAAGGCAGGAG